TCAATCTCTACTGCTTCTAAACCGAGTCCCCGTGAGCATAACAACCGGCGTATTTACCGATACTGTTTCATGGGGACTTATGGTAGAAGGATGGGTTATTTCTCTAATTACTTATTACCGGCTGCAGAAACATAGCCAAGGAGGAGACGGTGGAGTCAGTTCAAAACTACCTCTGCCACTGCCCCGCTCGAAGTGCAGCCGGACATAGTGTCTTACGTAACATCTATTTTGACTGCCTTGCAGATAAAGCGTCAGAAAGTGCCAATAATCTAGTGGGTTTCATAAAACAAAAATATAAAATGCTATTATCCCTGCTATGGGAAATGAGAATGACACTGACTGATTTTATTGCAGCTTCCTTCGCTGTTTAATAATTCTGAAACGCTACGAGTGTATCACCCTAAATGTAGGCAAGCAAGCATTATTGGAATATTAATAAATATATTAAAAAAACATTGCCTACAATTAGGCGAATGCGCAATATAACAGTATAATATTTTGGTATTTATAATGTGGTTTCATTCTTCTAGTTTATTTGTCAATCGTTTTCTTATGGTAAAAAATGAAATTTTAAATGAAAAATCTCTTTGTTTTCACTATATGTCATAATTCTCATGAAATTTTTAAAAATATCCATCAAGTATTATCTTTGTTCATGAAAAAATGAGACACGAGGAGCATATTCTATGGCGTGGGCTTGGGCGCTTGATGTTAGAAAAAAATCAAAATTTTCAAATGAGTTTCGAAATTGTATTCCATGAGTTTTTAGTGGCTCAAAAATCGTCTCTCAAATATTTCTAATAATTCTAATATTTTTTCTTAGTAAACTGTTCCCAATATTTTTCTATTCTTTAAATATACTCTCTCACGAAAAGGCTGTAAGTATTCTTTCTCCATTTTGATTTTAAATCTCGTAAATGTTTTAGGAAGCTTTGGTATAAAGTTCATCAATTAGGTATACCATACTGTCAAAAAAATCTAGTAACGGTTTATGGTAAAGGTCGAGTTTATGGAATTTTTTTTTTACTATGTATAGCTTATATGCCCTCGCATAATTTTGGGACAACAGCTCTGTTAATAATCAGTGCTGTAATAGCTTAACAGCAGCTGAATAAGTCTAAGTTCATCACTATAGACTATTTTAAAATGAGCCCTAAGTACACAAGTATGGAGTGCTTTCCGACATACGTAAAATGCTTGTCCTTGAAATGTTAATTAAAAGAGCTTCCGAGTATTTTATAAAAAACATATATGTAAATCTAACAGACCAAGCTATGCCATAATCCACCCTAGAAATGAATGCATCAAAATTTGTGTAAATATAATATATTAGTGTGTGGTTATGAATTTATGGCAAGGGTGGATATCCATGCTAGTTAGTGTTGATTTCCACCCTCCCTCAAAGAGCCATAAAAAGTAATAAACCCAAGTTAACATTCTGTTAGAATTTCTGGAATTTTAAAAAAGCTCAATTTCGGTTTCGTCGATTACTTTGCGGTAATTTTGTTGTAAACGACATTTCACGTTGTCGAAAGTGTCGATAAAATAATAGAAATCGTTGAGTTTAGTCGTCATGCGAGCAGTGACTCTATTGCTTTGGTGCTTAACAACGCTCGTGAAACAGCTTGGAACTACTTGTGTTGAACAAGACTGGAAACACCAGGGAGCTTGGTACATGGGTGCCACATTAGTTAACGAGAAAATATCTTAGTGATCGAATTTCTATCTGCGAATCGCTGCTGAGTCGTAACAAAAGCAGATGATAATTGCTGATGAAAGGCACAGCAACGTCAAATAAAAACGGTCGTGAAAAGCAGGGAATCGGAATAAACGATCTAAAATATAGGACTGACGGCCAGGAGAATGTTGATGTTTGGTGCGATTAGCAAGGAATCATTCACTATGGTTAAGTTCTTATTTGGATCTTCCAAATAAGAGCTCCTCAAAACCGACTAGCGGAAGCTATCGCCGAGGAGCGCCGAGTTTTGGCCGATTGCGTTTCATTTGGACAACACCAGGCGGTACAATTCGGTAATGACTCGCCAGTAGCTTCAAGAGCTTTGTTGGAAGATTCTTATACATACACCTCACCTCACATAAAATGATTATATTCTGCTTCTGTGAGTAATTGGCCTCCAGAAAATCTTTAGAAAATCGATTGTCTTAATTTTTTGTTTGGCCAATAGAAAGAAGATATGAAAGCAGCATAGTGATATTTTCTTTAAAATGACAAAAAATTATAGAAAAAAACGGTAAATAAAGCTTTCAATTTAATACAAAAAATAATGTATTATTTTTTACTAGACCAAGGGGCAAGACGGATAACTCTTTAAGTTATTTATATACTCATAAGGAATATCTTTACCTTCAAAATACTAGTCCTTGATTTCATTACCGCTGAACATTTTTAATACCTCAACTCTCGGTGCAGGGTTTGGGCTGTGGGATGAGTGATTGAAAATATTGAAACACACGCAATGCACCTCTTATATTTATGGAGGCTTGAGCATTCTCGGCAACCTTCTACGCTAAGCCAAGATGATCGTGCAGGATTTTAAAAATGATTGTATCGGATACTCCAATTATATTTGCGAAATATTTCTTCTTTAGTAGTGTATCGTCGAGGGCAATTTTTTAAATTTTTTAGTTAAGTATTGGCGTGGTTACTTCGATGCTCCTGCTTGATATCGAGAGATTTCCTTTCATATTTAAGGCGTAAACCCACTCTAGGATTTTGGAAAACTCAATTTTTTTTTGCTCACAGGGTAGCCTTGGGTCCTAGAAATCATATGCAATTGATTTTAAAGGGAACAAAATTTCAAATAGTTGAACTTTTTATTTTGTTGCGGCCTCTCAGAGCATGCGCTGAGTGCATAGAAAACTTTAAACGCGTTTTTTTCAAAATCACATTTCTCAAACTGGGAGGACAGATTATTCGGACCCTATCACATTGAATTAATTGAAATTTTGATGGCAGCTTCATGAGTACATTTTTTCGGAAATACTTAGCCGTTTTACAATTAAATGCAAACTTTTTTTTTTCAAATAATTTAATGCGTAATTTTTTTCTAGTCAAAAACCCATCTTTCAAATTAGTTGAAAAATAAATCCGTACGCACTTCTGAGGACCATAGAACATCATAAAACTTCTTGCTTTTCTGTTTTAGGTTTCATCCTTTAAAAAAAATATTTCCCCCCGTGAAAGCCTTTCAAAAAACATGAATTAAATAATGGACTCTCTCACTGCCATTTTGTAACAGAAAAATAATTGAAGAATATTTTTTATACTTCAATATTTATGTGTTCAATGTAATGGTTAAATAGAAATTCTATTCCGTTTCCCATATTCCAATAAAAAATTAAAAAAAATGAGTCCATTTTTCAACCTCTCGAGTGGCTTTACCCCTTAAATAAACTGAGCGACTTGTACTTTTTGGTTTTTTTTTCGTATAAGAATCGTCGTGCACCAATGGCAGCTCATTTATTATGCTTGGTAAGGAACTTTACAACGGTCTCGTAACACGTTATGATCCTAATGAGCCTAATCAGCCCTCTATAACCCTCTAATTTGGTGAATATACACGCGCTTCATAGCAGTTTTCATTGAATCCCCGAGAGTGAGGAGGAGATAATGCCATGCAGTAACGCATACGTACATATAAAGACGGTATTTTCTCTCAAATAATGGTTTAATTTATGGACCGAGTATACTTAGCAGCTTCATATAGCTACAAGAGTCCCCTAAATCCCCAGGTAAATGCAAATTAATTGAAAAATAGAGTTTATCAAGAGCAGGAAAGAGGATTGAATCTGCTACGTTTACTTACTTATACTTTACTTTAGCTTTATTTCTACGCTGTTCCTATGGTCCATCATTCAGCAGCATTCGCAAAGGTTGTTGCTGTTGTAGTAACCGCAAAAGATATTCCCGCAAAGCAGTTTTTAAGGAACGCTTTGTGAGTAGCACTACTTGGCCGGAAAAAATCAAGACTAAAGACCGGACTGTTGCGAGAACTTTTGTATTTAAGTCACCACTTACGACAGGCTGGAAAATTCTTGAACCCCTACCCCGCTAGAGCAAAGGTATTGCTCTCAGCCGTATCTGCTTCTATACCAGCGGTGGATGCCACATTTATATATGTATGTACCTAAAGATATACTAAATTTTTTCTGCTTTTGGTCTGCCTGCAGTTTACGCTGGTGTGCAGTAATTAAGTAGAGGGCACTTCGTCTACGTTAAAATTGTTCTAGGAATTTAAGTGCTCCTGGAGAGTTCAGGGTACTTTGGATAACATTCGAAGCCTTAAGTAAAGCACACGTCATTCTATCAAAAGCGTGCAAGCTTCCGCTTGGAAGATAAAGTTGCAGTCATTGAGTTTGAAATTACTTTCATTGCTGGGGTAGTCGGTAGTCAGAATACGACCTTGTGTCTTTGTGTTTCCAGCTTGTATTCTCATGAGTATATACAATGTGGATATCTTCACTGTTTTTCTGAGAAGATTGCTTGCATCTAATGTTATAAGTTTTTGTATGCTGTTTCTGACAACAATTGTTTTTAAGCTGGTCAGGATGAGTTCCAGGTGCTCTGTTTAAGTAGTTCTAATCGCGCCTGCTTTACTCAGTCCTCATATGAGTGGTCCATATATTCGAATTTCATGAGGTTTGGAAAAATCCAGTAAGCCATTTGAGGCCCTAGCCCTTGAGGTGCTACTGCACATGCATTTTTGGCTATTTTGCGGTCTACGTACGCAACTCGCTGTTGCCTGCAGCTCTCAACAGTGTTCTCAGTTCTGCCAATGGGTTCACAAAGCGACGCTCTTGTTACAATTTTAAGAGAGCTGGGAACAAATTTTCAGCATACGTGTAGTTTCAACTCTGTTCAGTCTACAGACGTACTAGAATTCGCCGTAACATTTTCGGAGTGCCGTCACGCCACCCATCAAGGTGGCGTAGACTTCGCTCGCTTGCTCGGTCATGTACTTTCGTTGGCTGTGCCGCACAGCTCGCTTGGTCGGTTGGCCTTACAGTGAACCAACAAACTTCAGTAGTACTTCCTATTGCCTTACACATTGTCGTTCAACTTGTCGGCGGTTCCGTTTGATGGATAAACGACGACCACAATACATACATAACTTTATCGGTAACAGTCGTGGCGGTGAAGGTGATGGTGACGTTGTCGGTGGAGACACCTAATTTCGCTACTATTTACTTTGCCACTGTGTTATTGAGTGTGGTTTTGTTTGGTTTTTGTTGTACTACTACAATCAACGCTGAACGATGAACGACTACTGGCCAAGCGACCTACCAACCGACTAAAAACAGGCGAACTCGAACTCGTACGCGAAAGCGCCAGGAAAACAATTGCGGCGATCTCACTCAACAGTTCAACGTTGGCGCTTATAACGAACGGTTGGATGCACTGATGTGACATGTCGTGGCATGCTGTGACGTGAAAGCACGTGATAATAGTGCAACGGAAAAATAAATTAAATGCAAAAAATATACGTATAAGCCATTGTACTCGGGGTTGTGGTGTCTGTAAATCGTTCGGCTGACTATTGTACTGGTGTGGAGAGCGGAAATGTGACAAAAATGTGACAAAAATCTGTGAAGGCATGCTTACATACCGATGTATGAATGTGGCACCGCTATGCGGCCATAAAAAACGCGATAGTTTGATGGGTGATGGAGTGCCGCTGCCGGAGTCTGTGTCGTATAGACGGCATATGAAGTGAAAAAAAGAAAATAAAAAGAAATGAAAATAAAAGTGAGAGAGAAAGATAATATTTGTAATGGCAAAAAATTGTCAAGTGGAAGTAGAATCATAAATGCATAAGCGAATTTGTGGAAAAATTGCGACGATTTAAAATGAGTGGAGTTCGCGTAATATAACGGTTGTACTTATTCAAACACAAACACATGAATGCACATAAAAAGTTCGAAAATTTAAATAATTGTAAAAAAAAAAGTTTCGCATTTGCAAGAAATAAACTTTTCCACTTCTCTTTTGTAATCCGACAAAGCAGCAACAATAAAGCATGCTACTCGCGTGAAGTTAACGGGAAACGGAAATCGCTGGTGAAGTGTGAACAAATGTGGCGCATGAATTGTTGATTTTGTATTTTTTCTTTGCTTTCACTCAAATGTATGTACAGATACAAGGCAATAATGGATGAGCAGCGATATTAAAAAAGGTAAAGTTCGAGGTCGCGTGGGTGGCAAATGCGAAAAGAGGAAATGAAACGAAATAAAATGCATTTCTCCCTTTGCTTAAATGCGAATGAAATATTTATTTACTTATGCATATGAAGAGCAAATAATTTTATTTTATTTTTCTCGCTGAAGTTTTTAAGCACCTGAGATCCACTGAAAAATTATTGAAGTTGGTTGCATTTGGAAATACAAGAATGTGAAAGTGATATACGTACAGAAATAACATAACATAAATAAATAATAAATACGCTTGGTATGCCAAACCATAAAATATGAATGAGGAAATTGGTGTTTTTGAAAAAAAAGTTAAGTTTCCTTGAGTTAGGAATTACGTAATTCTCTTAAAAACATTTCAATTATTACCAGTGTTGTTTTTTTTTACAAAAAAGTAAAGATGCGTCATACCATTTGCAAGGCCAGGGTTCGAATCCTGGTTCAAACAACATCCAAAAGTTATAAAAAAATAAGTTAGATTTTTACTTGCCCTCGACAACGAGTGTCAACCCTTCGAGTCTATTTATAACGCGAAAAAATAAATTCCTCATAAAAAACAAACAGTTGTTTGAAAGCGGCAGTATATACTGCAGCTCCCACCATTTGTTGGGAGCAGGAGCTCGGCTGCAAATCGCTAAAGCGGTTCCAAAGCGCCAATTATATATGTAAATAGAAATCATTAAAAGATATAAAAAAGTTAAATATAATAATATAACCCAAAACAAAGAGAAACACAATTAAAAAAATCAAAATTTAAAAATAAAATAATAATATAACAAAACAACAAAAATAAAAATAAAATAATAATAAAAAATAAAATAATATACAATAAAATAAAATAAATAAAAAAACTAAAATAAAAAGAATGAAATGAAAATATAAATAGAAATTAAATAATAAAAAATTAAATAAAATGAAATTAACAAAAAAAAAAAAAAAATAAAAAATNATAAAATAAAATAAAATAAAATAAAATAAAATAAAATAAAATAAAATAAAATAAAATAAAATAAAATAAAATAAAATAAAATAAAATAAAGTAAAATAAAACGCCATAAAATAAAACTAAATTAAATAAATTAAGAGCGTGACCATTCAATATTCGATTCATTTACACTCTTCACTTTGGGAGTTTTAACCAATAAATTTAATTTATTTCTGGCCTTTGTCCGGTAGTTTCTGATGAAGTTCTTTCCTCGGATAGTTGATGGCACCACATTAACCCGGACCTTATCAAGAAATATGAATTTAATTGCAAATTTAGTTACTGAATTATTGAGATATACGTACTTTTCAAAATTACCGTTATGCGCGGAAGTCGGCGTGATTTCATTGATATATCGTTTGGTCTCGTCATTCCATGCAGTTTTATATATATACATTTATATATATGCGTCTATGTCTATTTCGATTATTTATCTCTTTACATGCAAATCACCGTTAACTGAACAAAACCTAATACACACTGTGTACATGGTTCTGCCGAGCGTAAAAAAAGAGTTCAATTTAATGTCCTTTTTTTAAGCTAAACCACTTTGCATTAATACAATTTGCACATTCGCCGAAAAAAATAAATTAATATTATACAATTAGAGAAATGGATACACTATTTATGCAAGCTGTAATGGAAAACATTGCGGAAACTAATTCGATTAAAATGCAATCGATTTGCAAAAAAACTATAACAAAAAACCCACAAAAGTTAAAAAAATAAAAATAAAAGAAGTAATATTGGAAAAGTTAAAAAAAATAATAAAGAGTATATTGATATAGAAAAATAAAAATAATTTGTGAAAGTGGAATGGATACCTTTAATATTTATTTTCTATACCATATTTAAATTTTATATTCATAAATATGGGTATCTGCGCCATCAATGAGTGTTAACCTTCTGAAAAATATATTTCTAATTTTGAATTATTTTTTTAAATACGTTTGGAGAAATTTCAAGAGTTTATGTATTTTTTTTTGACTCAAACCAAATCTAGTAAAGCACAAACACTTAATTAGCGTCCCCTGCACTACAATGCTCAAAAACAATTTCTGTTTTATTTCCATTAACTTTAATTAATTAAATGGTAAATATCGTTTTTATACTTTTCTATTGTTTTTTTTTATCAATTTTTTTCCATGCGAATCGCCAAAACCAATGAGCCTAATTAAGCAAATTTCTGATACAACAATTACATAATGCCTTGTTAAATCTTTAAATGAATGTAAACACAATTAATAAATTTTAGCACATAAAAAACAAATGCGAACGAAAGAAAAAATAAAAAGCTATGGCAAAACAGCTTGCCACTGACAAATTGATAGCAATTAAAGAGAATTGACACTAAATTTAATTTAAAGCAAACAAATAAAAATTGTGAAACGCTTACACATTTTTTTCATTATTCAAAATAAATTTATATTATTAAGCCATACATATTTATAGTAGATACTCACATCATGAGTTCATAGCAGAGTGGCATATCTACTTAACTAATTTTTATACAGTAAGGTGTGAGTGTATCTCTTAAACATTGAAATTTTTTGCTCTATCACACAAAGCACTTACCTACATTATCCTTTAAATTACTGTTATATCGCTAAAAACATTTTATAAATTTTCCCCCTTTTCCCTATGGAATCCTCAAACATTTATTAACTTTTTATGCAAAATTGCAATATATTATTTATGGAAAAGTAATTTATACCGTTCACATAATTATGGGATTCGAACATAAAAGAGGATTAATACAATTTATAGCAAAAATGAAAAACTACTAATTGAAGAAATTACAGCAACAACCGCTTAAGTAAGTTGCTGTTGCGAATGAATAAAGGAAATTAAGAAAAAATTGTAATTAATTATTATTTAAGTCAAGTGTAAGTTATAAATAATTTGCAAAGTGTAAAATAGGCTAAAACTAAACATTACAGTATAAAAAGTACCTAAAAAAAGTAAAAAACAAAAAAATAAAATAAAATGAAATAATAAAAAATACAATAAAATAAAATAAATTAAAATAAAATAAAATAAAATAAAATAAAATAAAATAAAATAAAATAAAATAAAATAAAATAAAATAAAATAAAATAAAATAAAATAAAATAAAATAAAATAAAATAAAATAAAATAAAATAAAATAAAATAAAATAAAATAAAATAAAATAAAATAAAATAAAATAAAATAAAATAAAATAAAATAAAATAAAATAAAATAAAATAAAATAAAATAAAATAAAATAAAATAAAATAAAATAAAATAAAATAAAATAAAATAAAATAAAATAAAATAAAATAAAATAAAATAAAATAAAATAAAATAAAATAAAATAAAATAAAATAAAATAAAATAAAATAAAATAAAATAAAATAAAATAAAATAAAATAAAATAAAATAAAATAAAATAAAATAAAATAAAATAAAATAAAATAAAATAAAATAAAATAAAATAAAATAAAATAAAATAAAATAAAATAAAATAAAATAAAATAAAATAAAATAAAATAAAATAAAATAAAATAAAATAAAATAAAATAAAATAAAATAAAATAAAATAAAATAAAATAAAATAAAATAAAATAAAATAAAATAAAATAAAATAAAATAAAATAAAATAAAATAAAATAAAATAAAATAAAATAAAATAAAATAAAATAAAATAAAATAAAATAAAATAAAATAAAATAAAATAAAATAAAATAAAATAAAAAAATAAAAAAAAAAAAATAAAATAAAATAATATGAAATGAAATTTTTTTCTTGAAACTCTTTTTTTTATAAAGTCGGCAGAAAATCTGTCCCGGAACCAAGTTGGGACTGAAGAGAAAATAAATCTCTGCCGTTCATTCTATGCTAATCTATATTCCTTCCACGATCAGCAGCTATTTAATTCATGTTCACATTTTTCTTGTCGCTGGGTGCTTTTGCAGGTCTCGTTCTTTGTTCCGAGTTGAAACAGCTGTGTCCGTTTTTTCACCATCGTATATAAAGAGAAAGGGTCCTGATGAACCGATGATATCTCTTTAAAAATTTATTTTAGCGCTCTTCCATTTTTAACAAGGAATTTAATCATAGCGTGGCGCTGGGAATTGCGAGAATTTGCAGTTTCTGTTGACATAGTGTTTTTGCTTGTTCCAGGAACGAAATGTTAGTGAACCTAATAAAAAATGTTGGATTCTTTATACTAATAATGACTCCCACAATAAGTTCCGTTACGTCGCTGAGCTATCAACCGTCTCTCGTATATACAATACTACGAGTAGCTGCTCGACGATTTTTTTTCAAACTTTGATCCGTTTGAGGTAATTTTCAACCACTTTTTTACACATATTGGGCGGTGATATCCCAGCCATGGCGAAAACCACATGTTGTCCAAGTCTAGTTCTTTAATTACAGGCCAAGAAGAGTCGCTTATCATACAACCATAGCACTCCGAATGGACAGTGGCAGTCTCATCGTAGTCATTTTCAAAGATCATGGACTACAGAGTGCACTAGACATTAAGTTTTTTTAAGGGCGCAATGTCCTCACTTCAAATATTTGAGGATTCTCGTAGCCCCAAATGCGACAATTTGGCTTAATTGCGTATCCTCCGAGTGAGAAACGTGCACCGTCATTGAAGAAAATTTTGTATGAAAGATGTGGACGGTGATCTTTCAAACAAATATTTCTTGTTGTTTAAGTGGCCAATAAACGTAAGTATGGCTTCATTTGTGGTGGGAGCTGCACTTTATATGGATTTTGGTGGAAGTCCAAATGCAAAATAAGCCATAATGTGTCCTTAGAAAGTCCCAGCTCTTAGGAATATCGAGATATATACCCATAAGGTCTTTTTCTGCACTTTCACTTGAGTAATTTCAAAACCACAAAATGGATAACCCAATATTAGATATATTTAAAACACCTCGAAATGAATTAAGTAATTTAAAAGTGCTCATGGAACCCTCTCCCTCATTTCTTATTTCATCTTTTCTGCTTCACATTTCCCATCCATG